CAGACCCTTGATCCTCTGGACACATTCCAGCTTGTCAACATCTCCCTTCAATTGCAGTGCCCAGAATTGGACACAGTGTGATTTCAGGTGTTGTCTGACCAAGGCAGAATAGAAGGGTAACATGACTTTCCTGGATCTAGACACTAGACTCCTATTTATGCAGGCCAAAATCCCATTGACTTTTGTAGCCACCGCATCCCATTGTTGGCTCATGTTCACCTTCCTGTCCACGAGGACTCCAAGATCTTTTTTTTTCGAGTCTGCAGTCCTCAATAAGGAACAATTAGTTTGCATTAGGCTAGGCTGAGGGAATCCCTTCCCCCCTCCCCGCCTCCTGAATGTCTGTTAATGGGTGGAGGACGGGGGAATGGGGCATGCTGGGGGAGGAGGGAGATCCAGTGGCCGAAGAAACCTCACAGAAGTGATATAGGGGAGAGGAAGATACAGGAAAGGGAGACCCAAACATCAAATTTGGCCTAGGGAAGAGAGTATATTGATAGTTCCAAAATGGTCTCCTGACACGGTAAAACAGAGTACCCAGGATGGCGGTGCCTCTGGTTTAAGGGTGGTGCTGTTGAATGCCGGGTCTGTAAATGGAAAAACAGCTGTTATCCAGGATCTAATTCTGGATGAACATGCAGATCTGGTGTTCATAACAGAGACCTGGTTGGATTAGGTGGGGGGGGGGGTCAGTCTCACCCAGCTTAGCCCGCCAGGCTACTCTTTGCAGCAGCAGCCAAGAGCCAGAAGGTGGGGAGGCAGAGTCACAGTGGTCTATAGGGATTCCATCTCCCTGACCAGGTGCCCCATCCCGCGGTCAACCACATTTTAATGTGTCCACCTGAGGGTAGGTGACCGGGACAGGATAGAGATTTTGCTAGTGTACCAACCACCCCGCTGCACCACAGTCTCCCTGCCTGAACTAGCCGGGGTGATCTTGGGCTTGGTGTTGGAGTCCCAACGGCTTATAGTGCTGGGGAACTCCAATGTCAATGTGGAGACCACCCTGTTGGGAGTGGCTCTGGACTTCATGGCCACCATGTCAACCATGGGACTGTCCTAATTAGTATCTGGTCCTACCTACAGAGCTGGGCACACACTTGAGTTGGTTTTCTGCCAGGGATGGAAGGAAGGTGGCGGTGTGGAGAAATTGACCATCACTCCGTTGCCATGGACTGACCATCACATGATCAGATTTAGATTAACTGCGCCCCCCCCCCAACCTCTGCAGGGGGGAAGGACCTATTAAAATGGTCCACCCCAGGAGGCTTATGGATCCAGAAAGTTTCCTGATGGCTTTTGGGGAATTTCTGGCCACCCCAGTAGGTGATCCTGTTGATGCTCTGGTCACTATCTGGAATAGGGAGATGACTAGGGCAATAGACACAATTGCTCCAGAACGTCCCTTTTTAAACAGCACAACTAAACCAGCTCCTTGGTTCAATGAGGGGCTAGCAGCGATGAAGGGTGTGAAGAGGGGACTAGAGGGTGTGCGGCGTTCAAGGCGCAGTAAGTCAGACTGAACAAGGTTATGTGCCTATCTAAAGGTATAAGCCGTGGCAATAGAAGACAAAGGAATTCTCTCTCTGCGGCCAATATTGTGTCTGCAAGGAACCGTCCAGTGGGGTTGTTTTGAGTGATCAGAGGGTTATTAAATCCTGTCCCACAAGATGGGATCCCTGACCACTTGGCAGCTTGCTGTGAAGCATTTGCTCAGTTCTTTGCGAACAAAGTCACTCTGATCTGCTCCAACCTGGACACCATGTTAACAGCAGTCTTTGAGGATGTAACACAAGCATCTGCTTGACTGGTTTTGATGGATTCATTTCAATTGGTGCAGCTCAAGGATGTGGACAAGTTCCTTGGGGAAGCGAGGGCAACCTGCCCATCCTGGCTGGTAAAGGAGACCCCTGCCCATCCTGGCTGATAAAGGCGGCCAGAGGGGGTTTGGTAGAGTGGGTGAAGGTGGTGGTGAATGCCTCCTTACAGAAAGACATGATTCCAGCCAGATTCAAATAAGCTGTAATAAAACCGCAGTTGAAAAAACCATTGCTGGACTCCACTCAATTCTACAACATTCGGCCAGTTTCCAGTCTCCCCTTTTGGGCAAAGTCATGGAATGTGTGGTGGCCTTGCAACTCCAGGCATTCTTGGAGGACACTGATTATCTGGATCTGGCTTTAGGTTGGGACGTGGAAGTGAAACAGCCTTGGTCGCCTTAGTGGATGACCTACGTATGGAACTGGAAAGAGGGGAGTGTGTCCCTGTTGGTTCTCTTGGACCTCTCAGCAGCCTTCGATACCGTAGACCACAGTATCCTCCTGAGACACCTTGTGGAAATGGGTCTCGGGGGCACTGTTTTACAGTGGTTCCAGTCCTTCCTGGAGGGTTGCTCCCAGAAGGTGTTGTTGGGGGACACATGCTTGGCCTCACAGCCATTGTCCTTTGGGGTCCCGCAGGGCTCAATACTGTCTCTCATTTTTGTTTAACATGTACATGAAGCTGCTAGGGGGAAATCATCTGGAGTTTTGGAGTTCGGTGTCATCTGTACGCAGATGGCTTTCAACTCTATTACTCCTTTCCACCTATTAAGAAGGTTATTCAGGTCCTGAACTGGTGCTTGGCAGCTGTGTCTGTCTGGATGAACATATTGAAATTAAATCCAGACAAGACGGAGGTACTCCTGGTCAGTTGTAAGGCCAAACAGCATATAGGGTTACAGCCCGTGCTGGATGGGGTTACACTCTCCCTGAAGATACAGGTTCACAGCTTGGGAGTGATCCTGGATTCATCGCTGAACCTGGAACCCCAGATTTTGGTGGTGGCCAGGGATCTTTTGAACAATTAAAACTTGTGTGCCAGTCGTGCCTGTACCTTAGAAAGTCAGACTTGGCCATGGTGGTCCAGTTTCTTGTTACATCAAGAATAGACTACTGAAACACACTCTATGTTGGGTTGCCTTTGAAGACTGTTCGCAAGCTTCAACTGGTCCAACGGGCTTTGGGATCAAGCCTTCTGAGAATAATTGCAGTGCAATAACAGATATGGAAAATGTGTGATGAATTCTGGAATGGCCCCGGATTGTGATTGTGGATGGCGTGATTTTTATAGCAATTGTAATGTTTTAAATGTTTTTATATGTATTAATGTTATGCTTAATTTAAATGTTTATTTTAATTGGATGTTGTTTTAAGGGTTTGAATAGTTGCCTATATGTAAACTACCTTGAGTCCCCTTCGGGGCTGAGAAAGGCAGCATATAAATAGGTAATGGAACTCTGGCACACATGCTCGACCATTTTGTCCACCACAGGAGCAATTGGCGAACAGGTGAAATGGATAGAAGAGTGTGCAGGCTGCCACGAAGAGCGTTGAATGCTCCCAGGAACCAGGTTTTCAGAGGGTGGAGCCTCAACCTCACGAAAGGAATTACCATAGTTGTACAGGCCATATGGCCCAGAACTGACTGGATAAACCTGGGCATTACTGATGCCTTCCGCAGTGCCTGAAGAACTGATGACTTCAGGGTAAGGAACTGATCTTCCGGAAGGTATGCCGTCTCTTTGAGTCCCTTGTTGGGAGATGGGGGTGGAGTATATATAAAGTTTTATTATTATTATTATTATTATTATTATTATTATTATTATTATTAGAGTGAGTTCAGAGTTGTTCCTAGGAATCAGATCCTTTGAGAGAGATTGAGATGGGATTTTTCTCTGTTGACTATTAGGCCCAAAGTCTGGAGAACAGAAAGATTGGAAGAAATGTCAGATTGAAGCTGAAATTTAGAATTTGTTACCAAAAGCCAATTGTCAATATAAGGATAGACTGTTAAGCCTTTTAGACACAGGTGGGCCACAATGGCAGCCAAAAGGGAGAAAGTTAAAACATAAGGCGTGGTGTCCTATCATGAAAGATAGAAACCTACAACACTGGGTACTGATCGAAATGTGAAAATACGCATCTTTCAAATCAACTGTGGTGAACCAGACCCCTTTCCTCAAAAAGGGGAGGGTGATGGAGAGAGTTACCATTTGGAACTTGCGAGGTCAGAGGGTGATGCTAACCATCTCTATAGCCATGGGTTAGTAATGACCTCTAGAGAGTCTCTCTCTGTAGTAAGCAGGGAGCATGGAATAGCCTTCGTTCTGATGTGGAAGCGGTGGAGACATATGAAGTAGTTTTACTGGCACGTTAATTTATTGTTAAATGAATTAATTGATGATTTTGTATACTATTTTAAAATGATTTTAGTGTTTTAATTGTAATTCTTATGGTGTATATGTTGTTAGCATCATCTGATGCTTATGTGAGGCCGCCCTGAGTCCCCTTGTGGGGAGAAAGGCGGGATACAAATGTATGAAATAAATAAATAGTATGAAGAGCCATGGAAGGCGCTATGAGACCGAGAGGTGCCCAAGCAGGTCTTAACTGAATGGCCCTTGTTCCCGAGTAACAGGGCCACCAAGACTGGTAGGATGGCTGCGCAGTGAAATGCCTGCATGAACTGGGCCTGCGCTCCTCACTTGTTTGCAGAAGTTCATGCCTTAGCCCAGAGAGAGGCAGAGCACCCAGGGAAGGGTTTGAGCTATGGACTTGGCCTCCAGCCAAGAGCTCCATCCCGGGGATCAGCGGGGTACCAGGCAAACCCTCTCTAGCCAATGGTGGTGGACCTGTCGGCATGACCTCTTCGGAGAGTATGCATCCTCGAGTGGTGGGGAAATTGGGAAAGGAGACTCCTGCATTACTGGTATCACCAGAGTGGCTGAGGTGGAGATGGGGGAGTGCTGGGTTTCCTGGCCTTCTGCTTCTCCTGCCGTGTGCCCTGCTCCAGCCCTTTTCCAGATGGCAGTCTGGGGCTGTTTGGCCTTGGACGGCTTGGAGGGAGGAGCCGGCTGGCTGTGAGGAGATGGGCTCCTGGTAGAAGGGAAGGGAGCTTCTTGGATGACACAATTTTTATTTATAAAAATATTTTTAAAATAATCATAATCATAACAGAAATGAGATTGAATTGCATGCACATGTTCCTACTTTATTGAGTACAAAATATATACACACAAAACAACCATATTACATGGACACGAGTGAGTTGACTTCCCATCATCCCCAAAATGGGCGGTATTTGTAGTACACACAATTATGGGCTTCAATTTGATCCCCATTTCGTCCACAATTTTGGACTGTCAGACATCTTAGCAAGATGTCTGTGGCATGATACATTTCTCAAAATGGCCACCTGATGGTGACACACATATGTATCATTCCATGAACCTTTCATTGTCTTGACAAGATCACTATCTGTAACACAATATCATTCTCAAAATGGCTGCCCAAATATATATTGTCCCACAAAGTAACTTTCCCTCAGGAAGTGCAATATCGTCCTCAAAATGGCCACCCTTGAAAGGAATTCCCCTCCAGAAAAGGCAATACCATCCTTAAAATGGCCGTCCTTGAAAATAATTCCCCATCAGAAAAAGCAATATCATCTTCAAAATGGCCACCCAATGGGGACATGCAGATATATATCATCCCACAAATGTACTTTCCATTGACGGATCCAGTTTCGGCCATTTTGAACAAGACCATTGTCTTTTGTGTAATATCATCCTTGAACTGCCCCCTGACTGGAATACATATCATCCTGCAAAATAATTATCCATAAGAAAAACACATTATTGTTCTCAAAATGACTGCCCGACGGAGTCATGCAAATATATATCATCTCTCAAAGTAACCTTCCATTGAAGGCCCCAGTTCCAGCCATTTTGATGGTCTTATCATCATAAGCATTGTCGGATGCTATTAGAGCACCTCACACCCTCTTGTCCTTTAGGAAAGAACTGAAGACGTTCCTGTCTGAAATAGCTGTTAATTAAATGGTACAGAAGCCTAGTATTTTATCACCTTATGAGAATTCTAGACTACTTTTAATTTAATCTTACTTTAATTTAATTATAATTGTCTACAAGGTAGCATCCATGGAACTCTTTTGGGTTGTTTTAATCAATGGGCTTATGTTATATTGTATGTTTAATGTTGCTGTGAGCTGACTTGGGTCCGTTGGGAGAAAGGCAGGAAAGAAATACCAGAAATAAATAAATGAAATAACAAGATCACTGTCTGTCATGTATTATCGCCCTCAAAATGACCACCTAATGGGGTCATGCAAATATATATCATTCCTCAAAGTAACCTTCCATTGAAGGCCCCAGTTCCGACCGTTTTGATGGTGTACCATAATGAGACCATTGTATTTTGTGTAGTATCACCCTCGAAATGGCCACTTGACAGAAAAAAGTGAATATATATCATCTCTCAAATAACCTTCAATTGAAGGCCACTGTTTTGGCTATGTTGATGGTCTTATCATAGCGGAACCACCGTCTGTTATGTAATATCATCCTCAAAATGGCTACCTGACGGGGTCATGCAAATATATATCATCCCTCAAAGTAACCTTCCATTGAAGGCCCCAGTTCCGACCATTTTGACGGTCTACCATCATAGCGAGAGCACTGTATTTTGTATAGTATCACCCTCAAAATGGCTGCCCAGCAGAAACAAGTGAATATCTATCACGCCTCAAAGTAACCTTCCATTGAAGGGCCCAATTTTGGCGATCTTGATGGTCTTATCATTCTAATGAGACCACCATCTATTATGTAATATCACCCACAAAATGGCTGCTCATCGGGAACTAGTGAATATATATCATCCCACACCAGGGCCATTTTCTGATGATTTCACTCTCCACCATCACGTAATATCGTCCTCAAGCATCGATGTATCATAATGTCCTGTCGGGAAATGTCGCTGCAGAACCGTGGCCCGTGAGCAGCTCCTGGATTGCTGCCTCGCCGTTGTGCATAGCCCCATTGCTACGGCTGTGGTGCCCCCCAAGGTCCCCATTGGCCTCGCTGTCCTCCCCGCCCCATGCCGAGGTTGCAAAATGGACCCCGCTTTCGCCATTCTTTCTGTTCTGCGAAAAAGAGGAGGAGGAGGCAGCCTTGTTTTTGCGGCGACAGCAAGCATTTCGGCACAGGATGTGATGGCCAAGAATCTTCCGGAAGGTGATGCGGAACTCGCGGATGCGGTAGGCGTAGATGAGGGGGTTGACCACGGAGTTGGCATGGGAGAGGAGGATGGCCACGTACATGAGCCACTGGGGGGCTCGGGCGCAGCCACGGCAAAACAAGGTGTAGCAGTTGAGGATGTGGAGAGGCAACCAGCAGATGGCAAAGAGACCCACAATGATGGCCAGTGACTTGGCAGCATGGACCTCCTTTTGGAGCGTGGAGCAGGAGCGCTCCCCACCGGGCGCCATCTTGGCTCCCATCTGCTTCAGCTGCCGCCGGGCTGCCAGGAAGATCTTCAGATAGATGCCCAACATCAGTAGCAGTGGGACTAGCACACAGGCAAAGAAGTTGTAGTAGACCATGTACTCCATGGTGACCACGCCTTCAAAGAGGCAGGGCACGGCGTCACCGCTGCAGTTGTGGGCCTCCGTGCCATTGCCAGGTCCGAGTGGGTGCCGGTGCCAGCCCAACAGGGGCGTCAGGCCGATGGCGAAGGACAAAGCCCAGCAGATAGCAATTAAGGCCTTGGCACGGGAGCCGGTCACCAGGGCGTTGTATCTGGAAATGGGGGGAGAAAACAGGAGGATTATCACAACAATTGCAATGACGCTATTGAAGCAACGGAGCTCAATGTTCAACTGGAAATGGGAGGATTATCACAAAAATTGCAATAGTGCTATTGAAACAACGGAGCTCAATGTTCGCATGAAAATGGGGGAGAAAATGGGAGTATTATCACAACAACCATAATAGTGGTATAGAAACAATGTAGCTCGATGTTCACCTGAAAACGTGGGAGAAAATGGGAGGATTATCACAAAAATTGCAATGGTGCAGTGACAAAGATGGAGCTCCATGATCACCCGGAAATGTGGGAGAATATGAGAGGATTAACCACAAAAATCACAATGGCGCAATTGCAACAAAAGAGTTTGATGTTCACTTGAAATGATGAAAAAATTGCAAGGGTGATGACGAAGTTCAATGGTCAGCTGTAAACATGGCAGAAAATGAGAGTGAGAACACTGAAGAACATAGGACACATTAACACAAAATCCTGCAATTTCACAGTTGCTACAATGTGGTCACCTGGAAATGGGGGGGGGGGGATGAGATGATGACAACAAACAATCTAAATCCCGAAGCAACGGCGCAATGGCGATGACGGAGCTGAAAATGGGAGGATTACCACAAAACTGGAAGCCACTCTGAGTCCCCTTCAAGGTGAGATACGGCAGGGTAGAAATATAGTAAATAAATAAATGGCCAAAGGTGATGGAGCTGAATGATGACCTGAAAACATGGAAGAATATAAGACAAGATTGCCATAGCACAATGGCAACAACAGAAACCACCTGAAAATACGGGAGAAAATGAGAGTGAAAACACGGAAGAACTTAAGACAGAGCACCACAAAAATCCACAATAGCACTATTGGGATGACGGAGTTCAGGAATCACCTGAAAATAATGGAGAAAAAGGAGAGAATTACGATACAAAACAATAACACAATGGCAATTGCGGAGCTCAATGATCACCTGAAAATAGGAGAAAAATATGAGAGGATTACCACAAAAATCGTAGTAGCACCATTGCAAAAACTGAGCTCTGAGTTCACCTGGAAATGTGGGAGAAAATTGGATTCCCACAAAAATTGCAATAGAGATAGAACCTGAATACATCACCACAAACGTCATACTGGTGACGACAGTGGTGCACCTCAGCAGGAGTTCACCTTGCTCACAGAACTCACCAGGAAACCAGACATGGTAATAAACAGTTTATTGATAGAACACATATAAGAAAGGACCAAAGGCACCTTAAGCAAATAATAGGGTAAAAATCCAGGTGTTAATAAAGAAAGCAAGAACCAAAGGCAATAGGTAAATCCAAAAAACAAGAGTTAAAACATGAACATTAATCCAGGAAACAAGGAACAAGAGCATGAATCCATAGGTAAATCCATAAAGTCAGAAGCAAAACTTGACCAGGGATCTTGGGCCCTGAGCTAAAGCATGAACCAGGAACAAGACAGGAGTTTCTCACGCCAGTAACGACTTTGCTTGATCTAAAATCCTAACAGCTCTCTCAATAATTTAAGGGCTGCAAAACATGAATGCAATACTTTGACCTTGAGAGGCCCGCTTCTGCCTTCCTTTTCCATGGCTTTTCTTGCACCTGAATTTCTGCCTCCTCAGAAGCAGCCTGGTATCTCTAAGCCAGCTGCTAATGCCTGTTGGCTTCCAAATCAGTTTCACTCTCACATTTTGACTCAGTCACAACATCTTGCTCCAAAACCCCCCTCCATTCTTTCAGCTGTAGAACCATCTTGCTCTAAGACCATCTCTGTCTGGGCACCCACAGAACCATCAGACCCTACACCCCAAACCCCTCATCTCCATTAGCTGGCTGAACCACAACAGACAGAACGCTGTGGTCACCTGAAAACATGGAAGGAAATGAGAGTGAGAACATTGGTGGACATAAGACAGGTCGCCACATAGATCCATTATGGCACAATTACAATGATGGAGTCGAATGTTCATCTGAAAACATGGGAGAACATAAGACCGATCGCCATAGCACAATGGCAACAACAGAGCCCACTTGAAAACACTGGAGAAAATGAGAATGAAAACCTGGAAGAAAGAGATCACCCCCAAAACTGCAACAGCACTACTGCAATAATGCGATCACCTGAAAACATGGGGGAACATAGAGGTAACGCCATAAGAATCACAACCACACAATGGTGATAATGGGGTCACCTGAAAACATGTGAAAAAATGAGAGGATTACCTCAAAAATCACCCGAATCGCAACCACATGGTGAGCTGAAAACCTTGTCTGATGTCAGGGAATGTGCCTCTCTTTCTGTATGTCTGCAACTGTTTAGGAAACTCCATTTGGCCCTCTTTAATTATTGTGTGTCATTATCATTACATTGCCGACGAAGCGGGTGCATCACGTCGGGAAGAGCAGGCCGATCGGAGCCGTTCGGGATGCGTAATTCACTAAAAATTATGTACTGCAAATTTGTTTATAATGGGATTATACACTGAGCTTTCCCAGCTGTTTGCTATCCTTATGCAGAAAGGCAGAGCTCCCGCTCCAAATCCCAGAATCCCTGGCTGCAGATTGTGGGAAGTGGAGTCCCAAAGAACCCAATGCATTGGATGAATGATTTATAGACGATAGGAGCCAAAGTCCCAAAGCATGATGGGAACTGGAGTCCTGAAGCACTTGGGATTTATATTTTGGGAGGATAATGGGAACTGGAGTCCCAAAGAACAAAATGCTTTGGATTCCTAGTCTGTTGTGGATGATGGGAAGTGCATTTCCCAAGCATTATGCGATCTGGAACCCTAACAACGCAATTGCTTTGCAATTTAGATTTATTGGGGATGATGAGAACTGGGGTCCCCAAGTGTTATGGTATATGGAGTCTCAAAGAACAAAGTGATATGGATCCCTAGTCTGTTGTGGATGATGGGAAGTGTAGTACTCAAGCATTCTGGGACCTGGCAATATTTTGGGGGGCTGAGGAGAACTGGAGTGAAAAGGCCTAGTTTGTGACTCACCTGAGGGGCATGCGGATGGCGATGGCGCGGTCAAGTGCGATGGCGAGGAGGGAGAAGATGGAGCTCTGGGTGAGGACCAGAACAAAACAGGCAATGAAGAGGCAGGCACGGAAAGCAGCGCAGAAACCGGTGCTGATGGCCACAGCAAAGGGCACGGCTAGAACCCCCACTGCCACGTCTGCCACAGCCAGCGAGGCCACAAAGAGGTGAGTGACGCTCTGTAGCTGCCGGTTGCGCAGCACGGCCCACACTACCAGAACATTCCCGGCAACTGCTAGCCCCGCCAGGGCCAGCTCCAGCCCCACGTACAGCGCAAAGTCGGCACCTAGCATGGCCGCCCGCCCATCGCCAGTGCCACAGGGGGACGCCGCCAGTGGGTCCGGCCCGCGGGACACATGCGGCAAGGAGGGGGGAGCCAGAGGGCCCGGCTCAAGGGATGGAAGGAGGTAGGGAGACTGTTTCAGGCCGTGACCCCCACTCTGCTAGGCCACACCTTCTTCCTTCCTGCCTTCTCCAGGAATGAAGATGGAGTAGGGCCAGAGCGGAACGGTCCAGTCCAGGCCTCACCCCCTTTGTACTTCTGGGATAAGAGAAGGCAGAGAGACAATTTGAGGCAACACCCCAATCTATCAGGCCACGCCCCTCTCTTCTTCTGGGGCGGAGAGACGGATCAAGGCCATGCCCCTACTGTCAGGCCATGCCCCTTCCTTCTGTGGGATTGAAGGGGTGGGATCAAAGCGGAACAGTCCAGGCCAAGCCCCCTTCCTTCCTTTGGGATTAGAGAAGGGGGTTGAGAGAGGAGCAATTAGGCCATGCCCCCACTCTATCAGGTCACACCTTCCTCCTTCTGGGATTGAAAAAGGGGCGAGGCCAGAGAAGAACAGTCCAGGTCGCACCCCACTTGCTTCCTTCCTTGATTGGTAGAGAAGGGGTCGAAGAGAGAGAGGGATGATTAGGCCACTCGCCCAATAGTTTAGGCCACGCCCCTTCCTTCTGGAATAGGTGAAGGGGGTCGAGAAAGGAATAGCCTGGGCCACTCCCCCAATATATCAGGCCACGCTTTCTTACTTTCTTTCCTTCCTTCTTTTGGGATGTGTGAAGAGGCGGAGAGAGTTGAAGGCCACGCCCCCTTCCTCCCTTCTTCAGGGATTGGTGAAGAAGGGGGCAGAGAGAGGGACAATTAGGCCACTTCCATTCTTTCTTCTATGATTGGGAGGGGGGCGGGGTAAACCACTCAACCAATCAGGATTGAGTGTAGTCAGCCTATTGAATATACTTATTTCCCAGTTGTGGTCCTTCCTTCTTTTGTAATCCTCTTCAGGCCACTCCCCTTTCTTCTACTGTGATTGGCAGGGAGGGAGCAGGGCCAACTGGTCACCAGGCAGCCAATCGAGTTCACCCTATTTGAATATAGGCCTCTTTGGTCAAATTGGAAGAAGAGAAGGATAAATCAGGGTTTTCGATGAGTTTCAAATTTGTGAAATCCTTTGAAAAGAAAGAAAGGAGAAATAGTAAATATATACATACATACATACAACCTGAAACATCCTATTGAAATGAAGGACTTCCTGCACAATACCAGACTTGGATTGGAGGACCTAGGAAATGGTTGGAGAGACAGAACCCGCAGATAACAGTGAATCCTATTGAAACGGACTATGGAGATATATATGTCACCTGAAATGGTTAAGGAGGGAGATATGTATCATTGAATCCTGTTGAAAGAGAGGATTTTCTCTGCAAGAATACCATAGAGTAACACTAGAAAATGTCTAGAGAGGACCTATTTTTGCTGGAAGTGGATCGATGACATTAGAAAATTCCTAGAGAAGACATATTCTATCAACATGGATAAATGAAACTATGGACAATAGGGAAACCCATTGAAAGAAGGACTTCCTACACAGGAATACCATAGAGGTGAACTGGAGGACCTAGGAAATGCCTAGAGGAGCCATGTTTTGTTATTCATTAGTAACTGAAAACTGCAAAAACCAGAGTTGTATTAAAGGACCTAGGACATGCCTAGAGAGGCCATATTTGAAACTGCAAAGCATGGATAATAGTTTATTTCCGTGTCAGGAGCAACTTGAGAAACTACAAGTCACTTCTGGTGTGAGAGAATTGGCCGTCTGCAAGGACGTAGCCCAGGGGACGCTTTGATATTTTACCATCCTTGTGGGAGGCTTCTCTCATGTCCCCGCATGGGGAGCCAGAGCTGACAGAGGGAGCTCATCTGTGCTCTCTCTGGATTCAAACCTTTGACCTGTCGGTCATCAATCCTGCCGGCACAAGGGTTTAACCCATTGTGCCACCGAGGGCTCTATGGATAATAGTGAACTCTATTGAAAACAAAGGATTTCCTGGGTAATAATACCATAGAGTTGGGCTGGAGGACCTAGAAATATAAAAATGAAACCGGAGGTAAATGAAACCAGACAAAAGCATCTGGTTTTGCTCTTGTATTTGTTTCTTTTTTCCTCTCTCCGTTTCGGACAATCTGTTCTTTGACCCGGAACTTTCCGTCCTTCCCTCCCTCCTTCATTCGTTCCCATTATTTTATTCCTCCATTCATTCGTTCATTCATTTGGCACATTCTGTACTTTCTTTCTTTCTTTCTGAACAGACAATTCGGTAGACAATTTGACCAAGGAAAATGGATGGGGAGCGAGTTCGATTCTAATCCCAAAAGACAGACAAAGAGAAAAGGCCAATGGAAGCAGGTTTTCTTTCAGAAAAGGCCAAAGGAGGCTATTTTTTCTTAGGGAAAGCCTCTTTTCCTTCAGAACGGGGCCCTTTTCCTTCAGAAAAGGCCAAAGGAGGCAAGTTTTTCCATCAGAAAAGTAACTTGATCAATCTATATCCATCATTCCTAATTAGTTAATGGGACCATTTAAATCTCCGATCATTAGCCCTGGAAGCGAGCTTTAAGTCCCTAATTTGTCTCCACTGCAATTTCCCGTAAACAAGGGGAAATTAAATATTAATCGTGGTCCATTTCCTCCTTGGGTTACTTTGATAGATAGATGGAGAGAGATGGGCAGACAAAGATGGTCAGTAAATAGATACAGCTATGGATTGGGGATACACTGATCAATATAGATAGGAGGGAAATAGCTCGATGGAAATGGATCAGGGAAGACTGATATTATAGATGGAGAGGAGGAAGTGGCTGAACCCCCTTTTGTCCACATCTATTTTTCTCCCTATCTTCATTTTCAGGTCAACCCCTTCTATCTCTAGTATCTATCTATCTATCTATCTATCTATCTATCTATCTATCTATCTATCTATCTATCTATCTATCTATCATCATCTCTCTCTATTGTATCTATTATCTCTATCTCAGATATATGATCAATAGAGAAATCAATGATCTCTCATCTTTCCCTATCTATCATGATCTCTCATCTTTCCATATCTATCATCTCTATCATTTCTCTCTCTCTCTATTGTATATATCTTGTATGTTATCTCTATCTCAGAGATACGATCAATATATAGAAATATGGAGATCAATCCCATTTTCTATCTCTCAATCATCTCTCTCTCTCTATATAGATTCTATCATCTTTATCATCATCTCATCTCTCTATTGTATCTGTCTCTTATCTGTCATATCTATCTCAGAGACACGATCAATATATAGAAATATGGAGATCAATCCCATTTTTCTATCTCTCAATCATCTCTATCATCAACTCTCTATTGTATTGACCTTGTATCTATTATCACTATAATCTTTTCTCATCTATTTCTATCATCTCTATAATCATATCTCTCTATTGTATCCATCTTGTATCTATTATCTCAGAGATACGGTCGATATATAGATAGACACAGAGATCAATGATCTCTCATCTTTCTATCGTTATCTATCATCATCTCTCTGTTAAACTTACCTTGTACCCATCATCGTTATCATCACACTCTCTCTTGGATCTATGTATGTATCTAAGAGATATGATTTAGACATAGAAAGACAGATCGTATCTCTCCTTTCTATCTATTTATCTATTGATCTACCTAGCGTCTCTATCTTACAGAGATGCAATCGATATATAGAAATATAGAGAGGCTGTATCCCTCTCTCATCCTATCTCTACCTACCTACCTACCTACCTACCTACCTACCTACCTATCTCTATCTCTCTATCATAGGGTCTATATAACAATACTATGCAACAAAATTTGAAAAATGTTGTTCCTGATCTGAAGGTGTTATTCCTGTTTAATTATGCAGTACTGACTTTGAAAGGAGTTGTTCTACTCCAGAAACTCACGTTGTTTTTGTGGCTGAATTGACTGAGACTTGACGAGAGATTCAATAAAAAACTAGAGCCAAATGTGCCGCAGAATGATGTCCCTCCCGCAGAAACAACGTTTTTGTAATTTAATAAACTTTTTATATACTTTTATGATAGAACCAAGTAGGAAATGACATTTCTATCACCCAGGAACAAAAATCATAGTTACATACTGTTATTGGAAGCTTTTCGCATGAAATAAAAATAAGAGGTTGGATTAAACCATCACTGGATTTAATAATAATAATGGGCTTGTTCTAGATTACCTATCATATACCTTCCTTCACTAGCCTTCATTGCTTGGATTATGTATCAACACCCTTTTTTGGTCCAGAATAGTACTGGGCTTTGTTGCTTCAGCACCACACTCCTGGCTTATTCATTAATATTAGTGTTTCCCTCTGAAAACGCCAAAGGAGGCAATTTTTACCTCAGAAAAGGCCAAAGGAGGCAATATTTACCTTAGAAAAAGCCTCTTTTTCCTCAGAAAATGCTCAGAGGCAATTTTTCTCTCATAAAAAGCCAAAGGATGCAATTTTTACCTTAGAAAAGTAACTTTCCCTTCAGGAAAGACTAAAAGAGGCAAATTTTCCCTCAGAAAAAGCCAAAGGAGGCAATTTTTCTCTCATAAAAAGCCCCCTTTCCCCCCAGAAAAGGCTAAGAGGCTAATTTTCTCTCATAAAAAGCCAAAGGAGACAATTTTACCTCCGAAGAAGCAACTTCTCCCTCATAAAATGTTAAAAAGAGGCAGTTCTGCCTCAGAAAAAAGTAATTTTTTCCCTTACCTGTGGCTTCTTTCTCCTCTCCTTCCTTCCCTTCTTTCTCCTTCGGAGCCCAACCCAAGTCTGAAGGAGCCCTTGCCCTCCTTTCCCTCCTGCTTCATCCTTCCTCAATGGCTCCCTCTGGTGGAAGAAGAGGGCAAACGGGAAGAAGGAAGGAAGGGAATAAAGGAGATGGGAGGGAAAACTTAACTTCATACCTATCTATTGATATGTATTTATACACACACCTATATATTAATATATAAATATATATAACACACATACACATATATTGTGTGAGTATATATATATAGAGTGTATATTTAATTCAGTATTGTGTATATATATCTATATATCTATCTATCTATCTATTTACAAAATTATAAGATAGTGTATTTTATATATATATATCTTATTTCAATAGTGTAAATATATATAGAATATAAATCATGTTATAAAAGTTATATATGTGTATATATCATATAAATAATCTTATTGTGTAAATAAAATTGTATATATATGCATAATTTATATAATATAAATAATATGAAAGATAGTGTAATATTTATATATATAATTTGTATTATAATAGTGTACATAGTATATTAAATACACACATATAATATATAAACACATATTATTGTATTACATATTATAGATAATATATATATATAAAATATATATATATTTGTTACATAATGTAGTATATTATTTTATATATTATGCTTAGAATATATACCGAATTATATATTATATCTATTATAAATATATACTGCATTATATTAATATATTAGTTTAATGCATGCACACACACATATCCAATTACATAACACAAGAGGAAGCTCCCTGGTCTTTTAATTCCCCTAAATGGCTTTGTATTGTTTACAAAACTTTATGCAAATTTCTTTCTTTAAATTTAAATATGATTATTACAATTGGCTGTTTATATGTTGGATCCTTTCCCATTTCAATCTCGCTCTGGCTCAAGTCTATTGCAGACAACTAAAATTAGAATGTATATCTATATATACATTAAATATATATATAAAATCTCAATTAGAATGTATACCTGTACATAAATTATTAAATATATACACATAAATATATATACATAACTAAATTAGAATTTATACCTACATAGAAAGTATATATACACACACACACACACACACACACACACATATTTATACATATATATTTTTCCAGCTCTTTTACTTTCAATGCTGATGCTGCTTAAAAACCCTCCCACTAAACAGATTTCATTTACATTTTCATGCATTTAAAAAAAAACAAAACCACACAGCAGTTTTTACTGCATATTCAAAAAAGGAACTTTAATAACACACACATATATATTTACATTTTAAAGTGTATATTTCTCAGTCAAAAGGCAGATTGAGATTTTTGTTTTATATAATATATTTCTGTGCTTTTGCTTTTTTGGACAAATCAATTAAAAGTAGGGATAATTAATACAATCCTTGTGGAGGGAGCCATTAATTAATCAATCAATCAATCAATCAATCGTCGTTTCCTACAAAGCGACCCCTTCTTTCAGTTTTTACAAATCATCTCAAATTCGGGGAAAAGGAAAGTAGTGTTTCTCTGGTTATATATGTAAATAAATAATATTAATATTCATAACGCATTAACAAAACAACAACAAAAAGGCACCAGAAACGAGAGGAAGATAATTTATCTCGTATTTTTTAAATTTTATTTTTAAAAGTTGGCGGAATGTTCTGCAATTTTCTGGAAAATGATGGATTTCCAGAGAAAAACCATTGGCAGTAAATCACTCTTGTTTTCCATCATATCATGTGGGAGGAAAACCTTGATCTGGATTAATCTCTTGACTATGAAGAAGAAAACAGAAAACAAGGAGCTTGAAGGAGTTTAAGTTGTGTTAAAACAAATTTAACTCATATTTATGGCACTAAGAAAAATTACAGAATAATAAAATTCCTCTGTAGAGTTTATCCTGTTTTTCTCTTGTTTTATCCCATTTTCTCTTATTTTTAGTTTTCTCTTGTATTTATCCTGTTTTCTCATCTTTAATAGTTTTTCTCTAGTTTTGAATACTTTTCTCTTGTTCTCATCTTGCTTTTCTCTCATTTTCATTTCGTTGTTCTCCCATTTTTATTGTTTATATTTTTCTCTCACTTTCCCCGTTTTCTCCAATTTCTCTCTTGTTTTAAGTTCTCATTTTATTATTTTTCTCATTCTTCTTCTTTTCCTCCCATTTCCTCTAATTTTTATCCCATTTTCTCCTGTTCTTGTTTTATCCCATTTTCCTCTCGTTTTCATACCATTTTCTCTCATTTTTATAGTTTCTCTTGTATATCTAATTTTCCTTTTTAATCTTGTTTTTCTCTCATTTAGATATTTTCCTCATTTTTATACATTTTTCTCATTTTGTCTTGTTTTCATTCCATTTTTTTGTTTTTCTCCCATTTATAATTTCTCGTTTCTTATTTCATTTTGCTCTCATTTTTCAATCTGCTTTCCTCTCATTATTTTCTTTTGTTCTTGTTTTCCTCAATCATTAAGTTTTCCTCTAGGTTTTTATCCATTGTCTCTCGTTTATCTCCCATTTTTCTTTCAGCCCCCCCCCCCCCCCCCCCATTTTCCTCCTGGTTTTATCCTTGTTTCCTTTTTCAAAAACCACCATAAAACGGGATAAGATTGAATATTTTACATTCTCGGTCCTTCACTAACATTCAGAAAAGGGTCTAATTAGGCACAATGAAAAATGAAGGAGAAATGGCCAAAAAAAATTCAAAACACCGCCAAACAACAAAGGCAACTAAATTATGAAATAAAATCAAAGAAAGTAATCATAATAATACGGCGGCCGTAGGATCTTCACTTTCTCACATATAATTTGAGTTGGAGAGGCCTTTCTAAATGAGGCAATAATGAATTAACCCAGGATCCTAATTAAGGCACTTCCTCGAATCCCATTTTTCAAATAATACAATCCTCTTTTTCTGGCGTTTTCCGGCTCAAAATCAACTGCTTATTTATGTCCCATGAAAGAAATTCATCTCATTTTCTTTAAAAGGTTATGAAGATGACTGGCAGGTAATGAAGGCAAGAAAAATTAAGATAATGAAAGGAAACAAACAAAACAAAATATTATGTATATATATAGGCCCCACAGAGGCAAGCAATATACAATTCATTCTGAATAGGAGCTTAATCTATTCGCTGGAAAACAAAAAAAAAATGGTTAAGGATTGCTCCGGAAATGCCATTAATCTTCATTCATTTCAATTGAGAAAAGATATCGAAAAGTAGACTGTTCCAGAAACACTGTTAATATTCATTCGTTTTAACGGCAAACGAATAGATGGAAAAGTAGAATGTTCTGAAAACGTCAGATCCGGATCATCTGAGATATTTGTTAATGAACAAAAATAACAATAATGGGAAAAATAGTGAGAAACTAGAGAAATTGTTTTTCAAGGCTCCAGAAACGTTTGAAACGACTGTCAATCCTCCACGCAATTTTGCAATTTCCATCAATTGTGCGAAGAAGAAGAGAAGGCAATTCATTCATGACGGTTTTCCTTGGAGTATTAGATTTTCGAGGGGGTTTAATGCTTCTCGTCTCTCAGGTTTCGAAGTATTTGTAGATGGCCGTCACATACAACATGACATTCTGCCAATCTGGGCGCTCCGTCCGTACCATCTCGTTAATGTCCTAAGTAATAATAATAATAATAATAAATATGTATTTATTCTATTTATTTTAATTTAATGTAGTTTCATTTTAATTGTTTTACTTTATTTTTACTATTTTATGTATTGATTTTAGTTTCATTTTAATCATTTTAATAATTTTAGTTCAGTTTAATTTTCATTGCTTTAATTAATGTATTTATTTTATTTAGTTTTTTAATTTTAATGTATGTATTAATGTATTTATTTATTTTATTTATCTCCTAATGACTTAATCCCTCTAATAATAATAAGGAATAATAAGGTATTATAACACATTATTATTGTAACAGAATACATGCATTTTGAATTGTGTTATTTTATGCGTCGATAGTGGTTGTTTTATAATTTCTATGTGATATTGTTTTATAATATCGTTTATGTTATATACTGCACCACAGTATCTTGTAAGCCACCCTGAGTCCCTTTTGGGAGACGGTGGCAGGATATAAATAAAGATTTTTATTATTATGATTATGATTATTATTATATAATACATTTTATTTGTCACCCGCCTTTCCTAATGGTTTAATTCCCCTGTAACAATAGTAATGTGAAATAATAAGATATTATAACACATTATTGTTGTAACATGATGTAATAATAATAATATTGTAAGTACATTTTATTTGCCACCCACCTTTCCTAGTGGCTAAACTCCTCTGTAATAATAATAATAATAATAATAATAATGATAATGATAATGATAATAAATTATAAAATAAATTATAATATAAAAATAATATAAATGAATTAAATAATTACCAGAGTGGACTTGATGCCGACGCTTTCGGCTGCTTGGAAGGCCAAGGTGAAGTTCCTCCTCTAAAAAATAAAATAAAATAAAAATAATACTAGAAAATTACAATTCTGCAACTAATTTAAAAAACAAAATAATAATAATAGGTTATAAGTCTGCTATTAACTCATTCCAAAAATCAAGTAATAACAGAAAATTACAATTCTGCAAATAATTTCAAAAATATAATAGAAAATAGTAACAGAAAATTACAGTTCTGCGATTAATTTCAAAAATAAAATAAGAATAGAAATTTTTAAGGGTGCAACTAACTGATTCCAAAATAATAATAACAACAACAACAATAAAATTAACACTTCAACAAACAAGACTACGGTATACTAAATCATATTATACTAATATTGTAAGGCATGAGGTGAGAGAGTGATGCCGAAGCAATGAAGGCCAATACTATTCTAGGCCGGAAAATAGGGTGTATACATACATATACAGAATATGACTATGCTGACCTTGTCCTGACTATTGAGCTCCTGGTAAGGAATGTGGGCTGGAAGGTAAGTGTGAAGAACAGCACAGAAAGCCAAGCCATCATTCCAGCTGCTGCTGAAGTTTGTGATGTCAATGTTCTGAAGGGGGAAAAAATCATTTACATTATTTGTATTTTTGTATTTATATGCCAGTTAATATTTATATTCATTTATTATGTATTTTTTCTATTTCTAGATTTCTATTCTTTGTATTTTTGTATTTATAGGTTTCCCCCTGTGGCACAGTGGGTTAAACCGCTGAGCTTGCTGATCGAAAGGTCGCCGGTTCGAATCTTGGGAGCAGGGTGAGCTCCTGCTGTTGGCCCCAGCTTCTGCCAACCTAGCAGTTCGAAAACATGCAAATGTGAGTAGATTAACAGGTATCACTCCTTACCTTTTTTTCTATTTCATATATTTCTATTTTTAATATACCTGTTTATATTTTTATACTTACTATATATATTAATATTTTAGATACAGCTACATTTCCATTTTTATTTCTATATCTCTATTTATATTTGTATTTTTATATTAAATATATATATATGTATTTGTATATTGATATATAGTCAGCTATGTATTGATAGATTTTGATTTCTTTTTTCTAGTTCTATTTTAAGATAGTTATGTTTTTATATTGATATAGCTATATTTGCATTTTTATACTATATATATAATACTTATATTTATATACATTTTATTAGTCATTTTTTATATATATATATATATATATATATATATATATATGTATTTGTATATTGATAGTCAGCTTTGAATTGATAGATTGATTCCTTTTTTATAGTTCTATTTAAAGATAGTTACGTTTTTATGTCAATATACCTCAATTTCTATTTGTCAATTTATACATTTCTGTATCTAGATTTCAATTTGGATTTTTCTCTATTTTTTATTTCTATATGTCTATGTTTATTTGTCCAAATCTATAGGAATATAGTGTCACGATGGAGCGAATTCCGAGAAAAATAGAGATGCTGACTTGGAGAAAGGGATGTTTGCTTCGATGCAGGCTTCTTATCTTTCTTCAAACAGAAGGGGAACGTGAGGTTTCTATGCATTTGGTTGAAAAAATCAAAAGAGCGGAAGAAGCGGCTTCTGCTCTCCGCTTGTGTCAGCAAAAGATGCATGCGTCATGCATAATGATATAATATAACAATATATAATTAGAATATTGTAACATAATAATACTAATATATTAAATATAATACTGATAATATATATTATATAACACTAATATTGTGCTATGCTAATATATTACATACAATATTGATATCATCATAATGTAATACAATATAACACTAATAATACAAAATAATAATATTGTAATAAAGTAATATTACTATATGAAATAGAATACTACTGATTATATATAATAATGTATCATGATAATACTGTTCTATTGTTCTTTATTTGTATGTTTTAAGTTGTAATGTTTTAAATTGTGAGCTGCTTTGAGTCTCCGTAGGGAGAGATACAGCGGGATATAAATATAAATAAATAAAATAAGACAACAGATAAAGACCAATTCCATTCTGGACTACAAATTAATATTATCAAATTACTATTCCTATTATTGTTGGTATATTATTATTATTTCTATTAGTACTATTATTTGTATATTGGTGTATTATTGTTATCATTATTATATTGGTATATTATAACTATTTGTATATCATAATCATCATTATACTGTTACGTTGGTATATATTGTAATATATTGGATTATTATGATGGTAGTAAAGGTAAAGGTTTCCCCTGATATTAAGTCTAGTTGTATCCAACTTTGGTGGGTTGTGCTCATCTCCATTTCTAAGCCGAAGAGCCGACATTGTCCACAGACACCGCCAAGGTCATGTGGCTGGCATGACTGCATGGAGCAACGTTACCTTCCAGCAGAAGCAGTACCTATTGATCTACTCACATTTACATGTAGACACCTCCAAAGTCATGTGGCTGGCATGACTACATGACCAACATTACCTTCCTGCAGAAGCGGTACCTACTGATCTACTCATGTTTGCATGTTTTCAAATTGCTAAGTTGGCAGAAACTGGGGCTAACAGGGGAAACTCACCCCACTTCCCAGATTCGAACCGCCAATCTTAGAATCACAGAATCATAGAATCAAAGAGTTGGAAGAGACCTCATGGGCCATCCAGTCCAACCCCCTGCCAAGAAGCAACAATATTACATTCAAATCACCCCTGACAGATGGCCATCCAGCCTCTGTTTAAAAGCTTCCAAAGAAGGAGCCTCCACCACACTCCGGGGCAGAGAGTTCCACTGCTGAACGGCTCTCACAGTCAGGAAGTTCTTCCTCATATTCAGATGGAATCTCTTTTGGCAAGCAAGTTCAGCAGCTCAGCAATAATATTTAAATATAAAATATAATAATATGTAATCTAATATGTTCAAATTACAGATTATATTTTATAATTATTATACTGGTATATTATTATTATCATTATTACAATTATTATATTGGTTTATTATTATTATTATTATTATTATTATTATCATCATTATTATTTTTATTATATTGGTATATCATTAATATTATGTTGTTATATTGGTATATTATTACAGTATAATATTTAATTACAAAATACAATAATGATATGTACAAATTACATATTATATTTCATTATTATTACTATTATTGGTATTATTATATAATTATTATATACCTTTTTATTGCAGTATATGTTTCTTTTCTGGATATTATATTAATTTTATGTTATTATTATTATTTTATTATATTGGTATATTATTATTATTTGGTATATCATTATTGTCATCATCATCATCATCGGTATTATAATTATTTTGGTATATCATTATTATTATTATTATTACTATTACATTAGTATATTATTATTATGATTAATAGTATTATTATATATTTTTATTTTATTAGGTTTCCCCCCCTGATATTATATTAACTTTATGTTGCTATTATTATATCATTTTATTATTATTATTACTATTATTACTATATTGTTATATTATTATTTGTATAATTATTATTTTGGCATATTATTATTTATTATTATTATTTTTTTGTGAATGCTCTCATTAGAAAATACATAACGGCAGTCAATGACTAATAGCACAAGCTAGTATAAGTTAAGATTTGGGTTAATTGTTCCTCTTTCCTCTCCACGTACCTCCCCTCCCCAAGTATCCCATCCCATCATATTTCTGATTCTGTTTTGGATTTAAGGACATTCAAGAACGATCAGTAACAATCCACGAGCTTTACTTTACCCAAACCCTATTTCTCCCGTTAATCCTATTTTCTTTCCCAATGATATTTAATTTTGATGTACATTATGTGAAAATATTATATATATATACACACACACACACACCAAAAAAAAAAAAAAAAGGAAAAAAGAAAAAAAAAAACCGTAATGGCAGTCAATGACTAACAGCACAAGCTAGTACAAGTTAAGATTTGGGTTAATAGTCTTGATGTCCTGGCAATAATGCACCTATTTTAAAGTTTCAACGTTTTAAAGATTCAAAGTTTTAAAGTTTTAGAGTTTGAAAGTTTGAAATCTCTCGACCCTTAGACTTGAAGTATTTGTGCGGGACTGTGTCCCTCTTCTCATGAGCTGGTCATTGACCGCAATGAAGTGAACTTGAACTTGAAGAACAATGCGGGTGAACTACAATTCCCAGAATCGTGGGTCAATCTTCCCCAAACCAGGCCTATATACACAGCTGTCCATGTTGGGGGTGTGTGTCAAGTTTGGTCCAGATCTGATGTTGGATGGGTTCAGTGCTCTCTGGATAAGAGTGAACTACAACTCCTATATGCCAAGGGCAGTCACCCCCACATCCTGCTAGTATTTACAGTTGGCCATGTTGGGCCTGTGTGCCAAGTGTGGTCCAGATCCGTCGTCAGCTGGGTTGAGGACTCTCAGGATGCAGGTGAACTACAACTCCCAAAATCCTGGTTAATTTCCTCAAACTCCTGCAATATATTCAGTTGGTTATGGGGCTTATCTGTGCCAAATTTGGTCCCGGTCCATTGTTAGTGGGGACCACAATTTCTCTGGATGCAGGCAAAGTACAACTCCCAGATTCCGAGGGCAATGACCCCCAAAATCAGCCTGCATTCACAGTTCGGCATGTTGGGTCTGTGCCAAATTTGGTCCAGATCTGTCATTGGTGAGGTTCAGAGTGCTCTAGTGCAGGGTGAACTATAACTCCATGCAACCCTCACCAGGACATAAAGTGTGTCATAGGAGTCTGTGTGGCAAATCTGATCCAGGTGCATCATTTGTGGGGGTTGTAGTAGTTTCTGGAAGTGATTGAAGATCCTGCAAATCCCATAATCTCTGGTCCATCCTCCCCTTACCAGGACAAAAGTGCATCATGGAGAGTCTATGTGACAAGTTCGGTCCAAGTGTGTCATACATGGGGGTTGCAGTGGTCTGTGGGAGCCAAATTGAGTGAAGGTACTGCAAATCCCATCACTCGTGGTCCGTCCTCCTCCAAACTTCACCAGAACATATAGTGGGTCATGGGGGTCTGTGTGTCAAGTTTGGTCCTGATCTGTCATTCGTGAGGGTTGCAGTGGTCTCTGGAAGTGAGTGAAGGTACTGCAAGTCCTATTATCCATGGCAAGTTTGGTCCAGATCCATTGTTGTTTGGGTTCACAGTGCTCTCTGGATGTAGGTGAACTACAATTCCTATAAATCATGGTCAATTCCCCTAAACATGGCCATGGGGGTTCTGGGGGTCCAGGTCCATTGTTGAAGTGGGTCACAGTGCTGTGTCTTGATGCAGGGTGAACTACAGTTTCCATCCTGTCAGTCCCCCAAACCCCTCCATGATGTTCAGGTGCTGATCAATTCCTTTCTGTTTACTGTGCGTCATAGGAACAGGTAGGAAAGGGTTACGGGAAAGGCAGTGGGAAGGGTCATACTAATTCCACCCAAGGAATCCTGGGATGCCAGTTTGTGGTGGAGGAAACATGTCAAATCTAGGATGAAATTGTCCCAGAATAAAAGCATTCCTTGGGTGGTGGGTAGTAGTGTTGGGGGGGGGGGCATTGGCAATGTTTGGGCTACATGTTCATGGTGCTCGCTGTAACCTGCAATGTCAATGGAGGGAGTGCCTTTGGAGGCTTCTCAGCACTTGGAACTATAGCCTGTTTGTGGTGGCCGGAGGCTGTCTCTGAAAGTGGACAGCTCTGCCACATACATGCATATATATTTTTCCACTTTTATTATATGTATACAAGATAGAAAATTGGTATATCATTACTACTACTAATACTACTACTATTATTATAGTGGTAAATCATTATAATTATTACAATTATTACATTGGTATTATTATTATTATGCTAGCTTGGGGAGCCGGTGGTGCCTAGGTTATTAGAAAAAGTCATCTTTTGTTTTGGGGTATTCAATATTATCGATTTGGTAATGTGTAACACTATTAGGAAAAACTCAGATTTTACTTTTGTATTTTATGAATGCTCTCATTGGAAAATGCATAAGGATGTGGGTGAACTACAATTCCCAAAATTGTGTGTCAATCCTCCCCAAATGCCACCTGTATCCAAACAAAGCTGACCATGTTGGGTCTGTGTTTGGTCCAGATCCAATCGGTTGGGTTCAGTGCTTTCTGGATAAGAGTGAACTACAACTCCCAGAGCCAAAGTCATTCACCCCCAAACCCCACCTGTATGCACAGTTGACCATGTTGGGTCTGTGTGCCATGTTTGGTCCAGATCTGACTTCAGCTGGGTTCAGAGCTCTCTGGATAAGGGTGAACTATGACTCCCAGATTCAAGGACATTCAATCCCAACTCTGCCTATATGCACAGTTGGCCATGTTGAGTCTGTGTGCCAACTTTACTGCAGATCCGACATTGGCTGGGTTCAGTGCTTTCTGGATAATGGTGAACCACAACTCCCAACATCAAGGTCCATTCCCCCAAATCCCTGCAGTATGTTCAGTTGGTCATGGGGCTTCCCTGTGCCAAGTTTTGTTCCAGTTCATTGTCGGTGGAGATCACAGTTTCTCTGGATGCAGGTGAACTACAACTCCTATGAATTTGAATTTTCCTCAAAAATCTCCAGTATGCTCTCTTGGCCATGAGGAATCTGTGTACCAAGTTTGGTCCAGGTCCGTCAATTGTGGGGGTTGCAGTGGTCTGTGGGAGGTGATTTAGGTGAAGGTACTGCATATCCCATCACCCGTGGTCCATCCGCTCCCAAACCGCACCAGGATGTAAAGTAGGTCATGGGGGCTGAGTGTGGCAAGTTTGGTTCAGGCCCATCATTCGTGTGGGTTCCAGTGGTCTCTGGGACAGAGCCAAGGTACTGCAAATCCCATCATCCATGCCAAGTGTGCTCCAGATCCAACACTGGTTGGGTGCACAGGGCTCTCTGGATGTAGGTGAACTACAACTCCTCTAAATCATGGTGAATTCTTCCCAATCCTCTTGTTCAGTTGCTGATCAATTCCTGCTTGCTGTGTGCCACAGGAATGGGTAGGAAAGGGTTGAGAGGCAGTGGGCGGGGTCATGCAAATTTGGAGACAGACAGGAACTCCTGGGATATCCATTCTGGATTAAAAAAAAGAACATCTAGGATGAAATGGTCCCTGAATGAAAGTATTCCTTGGGTGGTTGGTGTTTGGGGAGGACATTGGTAGGGGTTGGGCTACATGTTCATGGCGCTTGCTATAACCTGCAGTGTCAGTGGAGGGAGTGCCTTTGAAGGCTTCTCAGCACTTGGCACTATAGCCTGTTTGTGGAGGTGGGAGGCGGTCTGTGTAAATGGACATTTCCGCCACATACACACATTTTCACTTTTACAATGTATATAAATATATTTACTATTACTATTACTATTATTATTATTATTTACCTGGTAGCCCTCGGCCTTCTTCTGGCACCACTTGAGGAGGGCATTCCTCTTGGAGCCGCCATACTCTCTGGCCAAAGCAGAAAGGGGGTCCTTTCGCTCCTCCCTAAATAAAATAATAAGAATAATAACAATATCATATCAGGTGAAGAATAATATAATATATAATAATATTATTACTGTTGTTATTATAATATATCACTATTATTATACATTGCTGTTCTAATTATATTGACTGTTGTTATTTAGGGGCAGCTTTCAGTATAGTCAGTAATAATAATAATAATATAATACAATAATTATAGTAACAGTGGAGTGGTTAATGCTGTTTATATTTCATTCTGTTTTAATGTTTGCATATTTGTATCATTTAAATTGCATGCTGATGCTTTTAATGTTAAGCCACTTTGAGTCTCCTTAAAAGCAGGGTATAAATCAATATAATAGTAATGGTAGCACTAATATCAAATAATAGATGGACATAATAATAAAATAATAACAATGATATTATTATAATAAACATAAATGGACATAATATGTGGACATCATAATAATAATAATATAGAGAGGGTTGGACTAGGTGTCCTTTGGGACCCCTGATGAACAAATAATAATAATAATAATAATAATAATAATAATAATAATTAGAAGGGGTTGGACTAGGTGTCCTTTGGGGCCCCTGATGAACAAATAACAATAATAATAACAAAATAATAGAGGGGTTGGAGTAGGTGACCTTTAATTCAATTCTCCAGAAAACGCTTTGCTCTGTATAAATATATCTAAATGAGAGACAATGGAGAACAGAATGATCTTTTTCCAAGCCTTTTGTTTTGGAAACAAAGAGCAACGGTTAATGATTGGCCTCTAATGTGATTTTAGGCTGCATCAAAAAATATAATACAGCCGTTTTATATTCTACAATATATGATATAATATAATAGGTATAATATAACATACTATAAGAAAGGTGTATGTAATATTATAATAAAGTAATACAGTAATTTAGTATGTCTAATATAATATATAATAAAAATAATATATATGTATAATAAAATATAACAGGTATAAGATACTATAAGGAATATGATATAATATTAATATTAATAATAAATATATTTGTATAATATGTATATTATAAAATAAAAATAACATAATATAATAGGCATACCATACTGTAAGGAACACATTACATAATATTATACTATAATAGATAAATATAATACATATAATATTATTTATTTATTTATTTACTTACTTCATTTGTTGACCGCCGTTCTCAGCCCTAGGGCGACTCACGGCGGTGTACAACATATAAAAACAGTTTACAATAATACAATAACACAACGAAATATCAACATAACTATCAATAATATAACAATAATGTAATTACACTAAATCATCCGCGCCGTCTCATCGTAGAATCATAAACCAATCTCGTAATCCATATTCCGTTCCAGTCGTCATTGCCAATTGTTGTAGCACTTAGTTAAACGCCTTCTCAAATAACCATGTCTTTAGGCTCTTGCGGAATGACATAAGGGAGGGCGCCTGTCTGATGTCTACAGGGAGGGTGTTCCACAGCCGGGGGGCCACCACCGAGAAGGCCCTATCTCTCGTCCCCGCCAGACGTGCCTGTGAGGCAGGCGGGATCGAGAGAAGGGCCTCCCCAGATGATCTCAAGGTCCTCGTGGGCTCATAGGCCGAGATGCGGTCAGAAAGGTATTTTGGGCCGGAACCGTTTAGGGCTTTGTAGGCCAACACCAGCACCTTAAATTGGGCCCGGTAGCAGATCGGCAGCCAATGGAGCTGGAACAACAAGGGCGTTGTGTGCTCCCTGCGTCCTGCTCCTGTTAGTAACATGGCTGCCGCGCGCTGGACTAGCTGAAGCTTCCGGGCCGTCTTCAAGGGCAGCCCCACGTAGAGAGCGTTGCAGTAGTCAAGGCGGGATGTGACCAGAGCGTGTACCACCGTGGCCAAGTCAGACTTCCCGAGGTACGGGCGCAGCTGGCGCATGAGCCTAAGCTGTGCAAATGCTCCCCTGGTCACCGCTGAAACCTGGGGATCCAGGCTCAACGATGAATCCAGGATCACACCCAAGCTGCGAACCTGCGCCTTCAAGGATAGAATAAATATTACTATAAAATGTATAATATCAAATATAATTCAATAAAATGCAATACGCATATAATGTAATAAATATAATATAATGTGTATATATATATATATAGAGAGAGAGAGAGAGCACCATCTATGTGATTCTTATGGTACATACGTGTACCTGATGCGGCTGCGTGTTGTTGGCGTGACAGAGGCGGTGGGGGAGGGCGAGGGGTTGGTAGCGGAGGAAGTGGCAGGTCCATCCGGGGCAGAGAGCTCCCTCTTCATCTCTTCACTGCTGCGGCGGGAAGAGGCTGGAAGAAAAAGATAATTATTATGATTATTATTAATAGTAATATAATATTATGATTGTATTATCACCAATACTCCTGACCAGGACTGCCTTCCACCTGGAAATTGATGTCCCCACTGCGGGAGAACATGTGGATCAAGAATAGGGTTCCACAGTCACCTACAGACCCACCGCAAAGACACTGGACTTGGAGGACCATTATCCTCAGACAACGAGGGATCGCCCAAGTAAGTAAAGTAATATATGTAATAAACATAATACTATACTATAATAGTAATTTACATAAGATAACATAGTAAAACTATTATTAATTATTTATTTCAATCCTGTTTTCCTTCTGAACCAGGACTCAAAGCAGTACAAAACATGTGAACAGGCATTACACAACAGCACTGTGAACCCAACCAATAATAGATCTGGACCAAACTTGCCACGGATGCTGGGACTTGCAGTAACTTTACTCACTTCCAAAGACTACTGCGACCCTCACAAATGATGGACGTGGACCACACTTGGGACACAGACCCCTCCCCCATGATCAACAAAACATACTGGGGAATTTGGGGGGAATTGGCCTTGACATTTGGGAGTTGTAGGTACTGGGATGTATAGTTCACCTGCACTCTGAACACAACCAATGATGGACCTGGATCTAACTTGGCACACAGAACCCGCATGGCCAACTGAACCTACTGGAGGGGTTTGGGGGGAGTTGACCTTTATTTCTAGGAGCTGTAGTTCACCTACATCCGGACACACCGTGACCCCCACTGAAAATAGACCGGGACCAAACTTGGCACACAGAACCCCCATGATCAACTGAACCTACTAGAGGGGTTGGGGTGGTGGTGCTGACCTTCATTTTTGGGAGTTTTAATTCACTTATATCCAGAAACATTGTGACCCCCACGACAATAGACTGGGACCAAACTTGGCACACACAACCCTCATGACCAACTGAACCTACTGGAAGGGTTTGAGGAGATTGACCCACCATGGTGGGAGCTGTAGTTCACCCTACATCCTGACACCACATGGGCTCCTCCGATGATACATCTAGAGAGCAAACTTGCCCAACATGACAAACTTTAACCACTAATGGAGTTTCTGGGGGTTAACCTGGCATGATGTGAGTTGCAGTTCATCCACAATATTATGCATTTTGAAAAATAAAAAAATGACTTTTTCAAATAACCCGGGCAACGCAGGGTATCCAAGCTAGTATAGAAGAAATAGAATATAGATTAGAAATATATATGTAATGTAATATAATAATGTATTATTTTAAGTAGATTATTTCAATTTTTATTTTATCTTTGGGGTATTATTAGTAATAGTAATATAGTTTTATTATTACATACAACAAATATAATAATTATAATAATATCATATAATAACAATATACATAATGTAATATAATGACATATTATTTTAAGTAGATTATTTCTATCTTAGGGATATTATACATTTTATAGTATTATTATTACAAAACATGATTTTCTTATTTTTACCCTAATTATATGAAGGAATTACCGGAAATAGACTTGGAGCCTTCCATGGCAGGGACCCTGGTTGAAGAAGAAGGCCTCAGAAGGTGGTCTGAAGAAAATATAGATATTTATCAATATTATATATATATATATATATATATACACACACACACACACATACATACATACACACACACAAACACACACACATATGCACACTCACAAACACACACATGTATATATTATTATTATATTAGATTATACTATATTATATTATATATATTACATCATATTATGTTAATACATTACTATTTTATCATCTTATTTATATAACAATAATATATAAATTATATATAATATAGTATATCATCTTTATTATACATTGTTTTATATCATTATTGCATTAGAACATTATCTTTATTATATATTATACTATTACATTATATTATTATTACAATGTCATATTATTATATTTCTAATACTATAGTACATTACTATTACATGACATTATATTTATTGTATCATATTCTTACCATATATTATAATGCATTATTATAGTATTTGAACATTATATATTATCTTTACTATAGTATAGTATTATTATATGTATTGTATATTACATATCATTATAGTATTCATTATTATATTACATAAGCTATATACATACTACTTTATTATATTACTATATTACATTATTACATTATATTATAATTATTACATTACATTATCATTACATTACATGATTACGTTACATAAATAAATTATATTATAGTGCATGATTACATGAGATATTATACTGCATGATTATATATTATTATATTATATGAGATATTAAATACTATATTATATTGTATAGTATGATTATACTACTTTATTAAACAAAATGATTACATTACTATATTATATGAGATATTATTTTATACTATATGATTATATTACATTGCATTATTATATTAAGACTAATTCTATATTATTATATTATATTATTACTGGGTTGTTGTAGGTTTTTTCAGGCTATATGGCCATGTTCTAGAGCAGTGGTTCTCAACCTGTGTGTCCCCAGGTGTTTTGGCCTACAACTCCCAGAAATCCCAGCCAGTTTACCAGCTGTTAGGATTTCTGGGAGTTGAAGGCCAAAAACATCTGGGGACCCCAGGTTGAGAACCACTGTTCTAGAGGCATTCTCTCCTGACGTTTCACCTGCATCTATGGCAAGCATCCTCAGAGGTTGGGACCTCACTGCCTCTGAGGATGCTTGCCATAGATGAGAATGCCTCAAGAACATGGCCATATAGCCCGAAAAAACCTACAACAACCCAGTGATTCTGGTCATGAAAGCCTTCAACAATACATTATATTATTGCTATTACATATTATTGTATACCTTTTGTACCTTGGGCGGGGATCTCTGCGAAGGCCGGCCTCTTGTCCGAAAGGGGCTTTGGGGTGGAAATGGGGCCACTGATAGAATGCCTCTGGAAAAATAATAATAAATATTATTTTTCATAATAAATTAATAATGGGAACATAGACCTCTTTCTAATAGGACTATATACCTCTTTCTTCTTTGGAGGCCTTTCAAGAGAGAAAGGTTGGGATGGACATCTCTATATTTCTTTCTAGGGGAAGGAAGGTGGGTCTAGATCAGTAGTTCCCAACCTGTGGGCTGTGGCCCACTGGTGGGCCACAGGACCAAAATTAAGGTCTGCAGCTCTAGATTATTAAATATGGTTTTCTGAGGGTGAGCAGATGGCGACTACTGGATGGCATATGTTTTATATCAGAAACTAGAGCTGATGTAGTCTGTCCAATGCAATTTTCTATATCACCACCTCAAATAACCAAACTGAATCTAAAGTTTTCCAAAAACTGATTTGTAACCCTTTTGGTACTAATGTTGAAGCGTAGTCCCTGGTCAAAAAAAGGTTGGGAGCCCCTAGTCTAGATGGCCTTTGCCTCCCCCTCCCCCTGCCCCTCGGACTGACTTACTTGCATTGGGGAGACGGCCGCGGCTGGAGGGGTCTTCATAGGGCTGGGGCTCAGAGGGGTCCGAGGCATCGAGGAAGCAGATGAGGAAGAGGGACCCGGTCCTTGAAGAAATAATAATAAATGTAGTATAAAATAATAATATAATAACATAATATAAAATATTAATATACAACATAATAATGATATAAAATATTAATATAATAATACATCTAATGGTTATATTACTTGACATTCCTACAGGATATTACATGAATATATTATATTTACATTATATGATATGATTATATTGCATTATTAAGCTATACTATTATAATACGAAGTTCTTACATTATACTATATTACATGATTATGTTATATTTACATTACATGATATGATTATAAGACATGACTAAATTATATAATAATATGATTAAATTACATGACGTTATTACATGATTACATTACCATTTACATTACATGATATGATTATAATACATTATTAAATTATATGACATTACATGATATTATACCTATATGATATAATTATTATATATTATAATTATTATATCTTATTTTCTTAGTCATCTTCTGGGGTACCTGGTGCGGAGGAGGCGGAGGCGCTGTCAAAGGACTTGATGAGGGTCTTGACGGTCAAGGCAGGGGCCAAGGGCTCGGAGGTGGAGGTGGTGTTGGTGGAGGAAGAGGAGGAGCGGCGGCTGAGGCCCATCCCTTGGCGCAAGGCGGCCAGGTCCCGCTCCACCGCATTCATGTAGTTGTACACCCGGCCCCGCTCCTCTTCCTGCCTGCACACGGAGAAGAGAAGAGAATATCAATAACATGGTAGAATAAGGGCCCTTCCACACAGCCCTATATCCCAGAATATCAAGGCAGAAAATGCCACAATATCTGCTTTGAACTGGGTTATCTGAGTCCACACTGCCATGTATCCCAGTTCAAAACAGATAATGCAGGATTATCTGATTTGATATTCTAGGATATAGGGCTGTGTGGAAGGGCCATAAGAGAAGACTAAGACATCATCAAAGAACACTATAACATATAATAAGAGAAGACCAAGATAAATTATCATCATGCTATAATATAATATTGTACACGCTATCATAATAGACCAATATATCATCCTAATATAGTATAATATCATATCTCAATATCATAATATAATACCAATGCATCATATTATAATATAATACATATCATAATACCAATATACCAATACATCATCACAATGCATTATAATATATTATAATATAATATCGATTTACCAATGCATCATTATATTATATCATATAATAATGATCTGAGTAAGTCCGTACTTGCGGGACTTGATCTCCTCCAGCTCCTTGGCAAGCTTCTCGGCCTTGTCCTGGGCCTCGTGAAGCCTCCGTTTCAGGTCCCCGATCTCCTCTTGCGCTTCGGACTTGATGTCGTTCGCAATCACCACCGCCGTCTGCAGGTCCGCCTGGAACTGCCGCCACTCCGCAGACTCCTCCTGAGAAAGACACAGAGAGAGTGTGTGTTGTAGTAGAGTCTGCGAGTACCAATGCTGACAGTAGTTTGGGTACTAGAAGGGGTAAACAGGTTACTCGGGAGCAGGAGTCTGATGAGGAGCAACAAAGAAAGAGGATCCGGGATATCCTTAATGCTCCCACAGTTGCGGAATCATTCCTGAGTTTCTCTGGGGATGATGGGTCAACAAGTGAAGAGGAGGAAGAAAACATCATGGATTGGTCTAAGGGAAGGAAAAAGGGCTACTCGGGAACAAGAGTCTGATGAGGAGCAAGAGAGGAAAAGGATCCGGGATATACTTAATGCGCCCACAGACGAGGAATCATTCTTAGGTTTTTCTGGAAGTGATGGGTTAGAGAGTGATGAGGACGGAGATGATACACTGGACTGGACTAAGGTGAAAGAGGTACAAGCTGTATGTGCGGCGCCGACGTCCAGTGATACATTTGTGGGGTTCTCTGGTAATGAGGATTGGCAATCGGGGAATACGGCGGAGTCTTGGGGAGATCTAAGTCTTGACAGAAGATGGAGAAGTTGGAGGGATGGAAGCAGGAGTTCACGTGTGGGATCAAGAACACCTGCAAATTATAATGACGGGGCGGAGGTTAGCTCATCTTCTGATGATGATGTGTAAGATAAAAGTAGGCTCTGAAATGGGGACTCTTTGCAGAAGGCAAGGTGTTGGTTTATGTTCGTGCATTGGGTTATGTCGCTGCCCGTTTCGTGTTGGCATTGGGTCCTGGATCTACAGGTTGCTGCTTCTGTTCGTGTGTGTTTTCGACTCGGCTTGGATTTTCATGAGTGCTGACTTCTTCCTTCCTTGACTTCGGACCGGTTTGACGACGACGCTGCCTACATGGACTTTGGAACTTCACTGCTTTGGATTCTGCTTACTATGACCTCGGACTTCGTTTGACTACGCTTTCTTCCCTGTGGTTCTTTTGTTTGTTAACTGTTGAATTGCTGTGCTATTTTGTGTGACTCTCGGAGCGCTTTGTTATAATCCGGTTCTTTTCTCCGGATAATCCGGATTATTGCTTCAGTTACCATTTTTGAACCAGGACTGGTTTTTGCCTTTGTGTTTTGACCAGAGACACTGAGTTAAGTGTCTCTGAGTCCTTTTTCTTTGTTTAATAAACTCTATTTTGAAACTAATTCTGAGTCTGGCCCTTTAAGGCGTCTGTGTCCTGACAGTGTAGGTCTTTTATTTCTCGCATTATTATTACTAATGACTATTATATATTATTATTATTATTATTATTATTATTATTATTATTATTATTATTATTATTATATATCCTATATATATATGCCAAGTTCTCAAACGTTCTGTGTATTTTTTTAAAAATACATTAAAACTGTACTTTTGGGATCTGCTTCTGATACTATTGTTTAGGATTCCAATGTATTGTCTTCTTTTACCATTATAATATTCTATTATATTTTTCTTTTTCGTTATATATTATATGATAACTTTCTTTTATTTATATATTATAATAATGTAGTATTATGAGTTATTAATATAACAGAATAATAATACTAATATAATATTATTAAAATACTATCATGAATATAGTAATACAATAATAACAGACACATATTTTACAACAGTATATTATTATTATTATTATTATTATTAGTAGTAGTAGTAGTAGTAATAATAATAATAGCGACATGAGCCATCCACATGGTGCTGTGGCAAAGAAGGTGAAGGTGACCACTGTTGGTAATGCCATTTATATAATTATGATGATGATACAATAGACACATGTGTGCTGTGTTGTTTGTTGTTGTTCATTCGTTCAGCCATCTCCGACTCTTCGTGACCTCATGGACCAGCCCACGCCAGAGCTCCCTGTCGGCCGTCACCACCCCCAGCTCCTTCAAGGTCAGTCCAGTCACTTCAAGGATGCCATCCATCCATCTTGCCCTTGGTCGGCCCCTCTTCCTTTTACCTTCCACTTTCCCCAGCATAATTGTCTTCTCTAGGCTTTCCTGTCTCCTCATGATGTGGCCAAAGTACTTCAACTTTGTCTCTAGTATCCTTCCCTCCAGTGAGCAGCCGGGCTTTATTTCCTGGAGGATGGACTGGTTGGATCTTCTCGCAGTCCAAGGCACTCTCAGAACTTTCCTCCAGCACCACAGCTCAAAAGCATCAATCTTCCTTCGCTCAGCCTTCCCTAAGGTCCAGCTCTCACATCCGTAGGTGACTACAGGGAATACCATGGCTTTGACTAGGCGGACCTTTGTTGTTGTTATGTACATATGTTGTTATGTGTTGTTATGTACATATTATGTTGTTATGTGTTGTTATGTACATATAATTATATTAATACAATAGTAATATATTATTAATTCTACTAGTAGTAATAATCATGGCAACATGAGCCATCCACATGGCACTGTGGCAAAGAAGGTGAAAGCGACCTCCCATGGTTGGTAACGCCATTTATATAATAATAATGATGATGATGATAATAATAATAATAACTTACCCGCAGTCGTCTGTGGAGGGTCTTGATCTCTCTTTCCATGTCATGCTTTTGGTCCTGAAGCTTCTTCACAGTGTCTGGGCAAAAAACAAATAAATACCTATTGATATCAACGTATTTAATCTTGTATATCTACATGGAAAGGATGACACTCATAGAGCTGGATAATAATACAGAATAAATAAAAAATAATGAAACATCAGCAAATACAGAAGAAATAAACCATAATAAAATGTCAACAAGAAGAACTGAAACGTAATAAAACATCAACAAATAGAGAAGAAATTAAAATTGTGTTTATATATAAAGGATAAAAATAGAAAAGGAAAAATCAAATAATGAAGCAAACCGAAAAATGTCTAAAATTATTTTAAAAATCAATAATAAATCCTGTAAAATAATACAAACATTAACATATATCTACATGCTAGATAAAATAACACAGGAATATATATCTATATATCTATACATATATACACACACACACACATGCATGTTATTGGATAGATACAGATAGATCAGTTGTTCCCAATCTTTTTTTGACCAGGGACCACTCTCCAACGTTAGTACCAAAAGGGTTACAAATCGGTTTTTGGTCAACTTTAGAGTCGGATTGGTTATTTGGGATACTGATTCAGAAAATAGTATTGGATAGATTATATCAGCTCTAGTTTCTGATATAGAACATATGCCATCCAGTAGTCGCCATCTGCTCGCCCACAGAAAATAAGCCTCGGCACTATAAGAGGGTTTCACGAGACCAGTCGCTCTCACTGTAACTATGTAGTAACGGTGAGGCTACAGGTTGGGAACCACTCAGATAGATAGATCAAGACGGATAGATATAGGATAGATGGGATGGATGGATAGAGAGATATGATAGAGATAGGTAGATAAGTTAGAATGGAGATGGATAAATAAATCAAGATGGATAGATAGGAATTATTAGCTATAGATAGAGATGGATAGATAATTAGACAGATCAAGATGGAGAAGAGTTATTAGATCGATAGATAATCAAGATAGATCAAGACGGATAAAGTATGTTTGTGTGTGTGTGTGTATATATAGATATAGATATATGAATGAATAATCCTCTCTAATAAATCATGCTGTGAAATCACGAGAACATCCATAGAGCAGATGGAGTGTGGACGGACTGTGTAGATCTGTGGCGAGGAGGTCATGGTGGAGCTTGAGGGCCCGGTGCTGCTCCACCTCATCCTCCAGCTCAAAGAGGCGCTCCTTGAGCTCCCGCCCCTCTGCCAGGGAGCCCTCCAGCTCCGCGCCCAGCGTCCCCACAGCAACCGACAGCTCAGATGCCTCGCGTTCCGCCTCCAGCCGCACAGAGGCAAGCTCCGCCTCCAGCTGCAGCAGGGAAACAGGGAAAGGGGAGGAGTCACCATCCACCTAGGAGATTGGGTCTCCCATCTCTAGCGCCAACCCAGTTCCCACTCTCACCCATCCCGGTCTATCTATCCATCTCCATTCTATCTTATCTATCAATCATACATCTCTCTCTCTATCCATCCATTCTATCTATCCTCTATCTATCTATCTATCTATCTATCTATCTATCTATCTATCTATCTAATTATCTATCTATCCAATAACAACTCTATCCATCTCGATCTATCTAATAACTCTATCCATATAATCAATCTATTTATCTATCCATATCTATCTGTCCATATCTATCTATCTATCTATCTATCTATCTATCTATCTATCTATCTACCTACCTACCTACCTACCTACCTATCTATCTATCTAATAACTCTATCTAATAACAACTATTGATCTTGATCCATCTATCGATCTATCAAATAACTATCCATCTTGATCTACCTATATAATAACTCTATCAATCCATCTATCTAATAACTCTATCCATCTCAATATATCTTGTAACTCTATCAATCCATCTCATCTCAACCTACCTACCTACCTACCTATAGAATAACTCCATCACGATTGATCGATCTCTCCCCCCTGCCCCCTTGGTTACCTTCTCGAGGGCCTCCCGACTGCGTGCAGCCTCAGCCTTGGCGCGCTCCCTCTCCTCCTTGGCCTGTGCAGCCTGAGCCTGGGCCTCCTCCTTCTCAGCCCGTGCTCCCTCCAGCAGGCCCTGGATGTCCCTCTCCTCCATGCCTCCGCGGTGCAAGGCATACAGCTCGGCCAGCTTCTCCCGCTCAGCCTCTAGTGCAGCCTCCATCCGGGCCAGCTCAGCCCGCTCTCCGTCCCTCCCCAAGCGGCACTCCTCCAGGGCCAGGGCCAGGGCCCCGTTGGCTTCACGCTCGGCCTCCAGGGCCCGCTCTGCCAGATGCACTCGCTCCTTCAAGGCCGACACCACCGCCTGCGCCTCTGCGTGGTCCTGCTCTGCCATCTTCAGCGTGTTGCTCAAGTGCTGCTGCACTCCCAGCAGCTGCTCCCTCTCAAAGCGGGCATTCTCTGCCAGATCCACATAGCGCTGCTCCAGTTCCAGGTAGCGGTTGCTCTTTAGATCTCCCTCTAGGATGTAGACAATCTCACTCTCGTCCAACACAGAGCGCAGGTACTCAATTTGCCGCCCGAAATGCTCCAGCTTGTCACTCTGTTGACACAGCGACTCCATGAGGATCAACTTCTCCTCGCCGAGTCGCTCATTTTCACTATTCAATTCCTGGGTGATTTGCTGAAGGTCGGCCAATTCCTGAAGCGTGGCTTGAAGCTCCTCCGAAGTGCTGTGCTGGTTCTCCTCCATTTGGTGGATGCGCTCGGTCAACCCAGCCAAGGAGAGTTCGTTGTTGTCATTGCTGTTGTTGTTTCCCCCGTTTTCCGACTCAGAGGAGGAGGGGGCATCCAGAGCATCGTCGCTGGAGGTCAAGGGGTGGTAGGCTTCGCTGCTCTCACTGTTGTCCAGAGAGTGGTGGCCCAGGAGGTCCTCCAAGGAGCCCTCGGCCGAAGGGGTCATCCGCTCAAAGCCTAGGGCGTTCAAGCGGTCCTTCAGCATCCGGTTCTCACTCTTTAGTCGGGCCAGTTCTTCTCGGATGGAAGCCGCCTCGGGCTCGGCATGGGCGGGCACCTCTGTTCCCTCATTGGAGGTTCCTGACTGGCCCGAGAGGGGCTCAGCCTTCCCTCGCAGCTCCCCCCGCAGCCGCAGGATCTCCGCTTCCTTTGCCTTGAGGGCAGCTTCTAAAGAGGACCGGTCGGCGGACATGATCTGTGTGTCTGATTTGGACTTGGGCAGGTGGGCCTCAGCCATGCGGGAGCGTGAGCGTTTGGCGGTCAGTGAATTGGAGGAAGAGGAGGGTTCGCTGGGGAGTTTCTTGGAGGCTGAGGGGCGGGAGCGGAGGCGGTCCTTGGTGCCTGAGGAGGAGGCGCTGCGCTTGGCTGCCATATTGGGACCTGGAAAGAAGGGGGGATACCCAGCCCACAATGTAATCAACATAATAATATGATTTATAATAATAAAAGCAATATTATATAAGAAGAATGGAATATAGTAACAGTACTATGTAACAAAATTTGAATAATTTTCTGTTCCTGGTTTGAAAGTGCTATTTCCTGTTTCACTGGGCAGTCCTTACTTTGAAAGTCGTCATTCTACTCCAGAAACTTCGTCGTTTTTGTGGCTGCCATTTTAAAACTTTCGCGCAGACCACAAAAAACTTTTTCCACAATTTTACAACAGAGCCAATTAGGAAATGACATTTATAACCCAGGAACAAAAATCATTTGTTGGTATCAAGGCCTGTTCAAAGCAATATTCTCTCTACACAATGTTTTACTCCAGAAAGATTTACAAACCAACAGTATATCTATCTAATCACATTTGGTTTCCTCTTCCTACTATTTTTGGAATACTCCACCTAGTATGTTACTACTAGTGTAATATAATGATAATACAGTAGAGTCTCACTTATCCAACATAAATGGGCTGGCAGAACATTGGATAAGCGAAATGTTGGATAATAAGGAGGGATTAAGGAAAATCCTATTAAACGTCAAATTATGTTATGATTTTACAAATTAATCACCAAAACATATCTTACAACAAATCGATAGAAAAAGCAGTTCAATACACGGTAACGTAATGTAGTAATTTCTGTATTTACGAATTTAGCACCAAAACATCACAATGTATTGAAACAGCTGTGGATCCAGGCAGGAGGCAGACTCCATTGGATAATATAGAACATTTGATGAGCGAAGGTTGGCTAAGTGAGACTCTACTGTATATAATAATAATAATAATAATAATATAGTAATAGTAAAATTTACATCATAATATCATAATAATCTAATGTTATAATACAGTAATAAAAATAATAACACAATATAATACCAAAGTAATAATATACCTATATAATAATATAACATGCTTATATAATATTACAATATAGTAATAATACAATATAATACCAAAATAACAATAATTATACAATAGTAGTAGTAGTAATAATAATAATAATTATATGATAAAATGCTTATAATATCATAATATAGTAATAATAATACAATATAATATAATGGCAATATACCTATAATATAATTATAATATAGTAATAATAATATTGTTCTTATATATACTTTAGTTATGTTATTGCTATACCAATATAACAATAACATAACTAAAGAATATATATAAAAACAATGATAGTATGCTTATATCATGTAATATAGTAATAATACTACAATACAATATTAACACTATATCATATATTATATAATTTTAATATTATATAGTACATAACAATACCAATATAACAATAGAATAATATCAATAATATATAAGAAAAATAATAACCTACTGCCCTCCACTGTCATTCTTATCTATATATTGATCAATCTATCACCAACCATCCCTTTATCTATAGTCCATATCTACCAATCCTATCTATGCCCCCAGATAGATATAAAAGACAGACACAGGAGGGAAATAGATCAAGAGATATGGACTATAGATAGATAGACATAATACCTATTGATAGATAGATATGGACTAGTGACAGATAAGACTGATGGATAGAGATAGATACAATAGACAGACAGACAGACAGACAGATAGGGGCTAGTGACAGATAGACAGAGATAGATTGAGATCAATACAATAGATGGGCATAGATATGATATAGATTATTGATAATTATAGATATGATAGACAGATAAACAGAAACTGACCAATAAATAAATAAATAGGTAGAGATTATTGATATGATAAATACAAATTGACAGATAAATAGATAAACAGATAGAGATTATTGATGGATAGAAAGATTGAGATCAACATGAAAGTTTGATAGAGATAGACAAGATAGATATAAATTATTATTATACAGATATGATGGATATACACATAAATAGAAATTGACAGATAAATAGATAAACAGGTATAGATTACTGATAGAGATCCATATGATAGATAGATGGAGATAGCTATGACAGATATAATTATTGATGATTACAGGTAGATAAGATAGATAAAAAGAAATTGACAGATAAATAGATAAGCAGCTAGAGATTATTGATATAGAGCAATACTATAGATGGATAGAGATAGATACGATATAGATTACTGATTATTGTAGACAGATATGATAGAAAGATAAATAGATAGAGATCTTACCTGTGAAAGTCTTGGCCTTACTCTCTGGGTTGCTGTTGCTGCTGTTTGTAGGATTGGCGGCAGAAGAGGGAGGAAGGGGCGGAGCAGTAGAGGTGGGGCAACTCTTCTTCCCTTTGACTCCGCCTCCTCCACCATTGCTGAAGGCCACTCCACCTGCCATTCCGGCTGCTAGGAGGTCATCGCTGCTCTTAGTCTGTAGTCAGGGGTGGGATAAAAGAGAAAAAGGTTTGGATTTGCAAGGAACAGGATAGAATCTTTTTTATTATATTACTGCCCGGCGATACCACGGTTATTTGAAAAAGGCATTGTTTGTTTTGGGGTGTTAGGTAAGATCATTTAGTTAATTAGAACAAACAACAACATTTTATTATGGTCCAAAGACCATGTGTGTTTGAGTTCCAGTGTGCTGGAGGAGGTAGCTGCACTGCGAGGAGCTCCGTCCTCCCGTCCATAGACAGATGAGACTCTTTAACAAACATTAATGTCTTCCCTCTCTTGTTGAAAGTATTCTCTCAGATGTTGATTTTAAATATTTAGAGTTGCTGATAAGAACCCCTTTTGGTAGTTAACCATGGGGCGAAAGAAGTGCTAGAGAGAAACAGAGCTAACACTCCCCCAACAGCTCCTCTAACAGCAAAACAAAACAAGATCGCTGACTTCTATGCAAACCATTTCTTGCTGAAAGTGATAATGTGGAATGTGAATTAGATAAATTAACTACACTACTGGGGAGTGTTGTAAATAACTTTGACCTGCCAAACAACTCTAGCAGAAATAGAGAAATTGGTGTGAAAGCTACCGAGCTGGCGGATGTACTAAGCTACTCCCACACACTTCAACTTACTGTTACCACAGGCAATTGAAGAGGACCACCAGGAACTAGCCTTGGGTAAATCAATTCCAAGGAGTCTACTCTGCTACTACATAAGATTGCAAACTCGTCAAACCAGGTGCTTTCCCCCAAGAAAGTTTGTTTGTCCGTTTGCTACTACAGAGGAACACTCCCTCCCTGGAATACTACCCACCTTGCCAGAAGGCACCTACAAATCCTGCTCAAAAGAGAAGTAAAACAGATTGATCTCCATACAGTAGAAATGCTGAACTTTGATAACCACCAAACAAGGGTCATACTGATTTCCAGGTTATACAAATATATTCTACAGTAAAACCTGGAAGCTAATTGAATAACTGGGAATACTTATGGAATAAAGGATTTAAATTTTCAATCGCGAGGTCCATTCATGAAAACATGTACGAAATATCCTATAGAAGTTACATAACACCTGAATTAATGGCTAAAATTGACAAAACCCAAAGGGGAGAATGCTGGAGATGTAAAGTGCAGAAAGGGACCTTTTCCTATGTTGGGTGGATGTGTAAGGTTAAAAATTTCTAGGGAAAGGTGACAAAATAAATCAATGAAAAGATTTCGAAAGAGGTGTGCATTTTGAAGGATGAAATTTGGAAAATTGTATGTTTTGATGCCTTAGAGAGGTGGCAACAGCACTTCAATATCATTTCTAACAAAGAGTTCCCGTATCCACCAATCCAATCTGCAGCCATCATAGAGACACCTGTCCCATAAATTACATCTGATGAAGTCAAGCAAACTATGGTTAAAATGAAGTCAAATAAGGCTACCCATCCAGATGATTTGCCTACTCCTCATATAGACCAATTCTCTTGCTCTGTTGACACTATGAAGATCTTCGAGAGCATTCTACATAATCAGTTGAGCAATACTGTCACAACAACAGCAAAACAGTATGGCTTCGTAAAGGGGTTCCACATGATCCTATATGAACGGTGTTGAGATCACAAAGGGTACCGGAAGAATACATATATACGTTGCTGTACGCGAATCTGACAAGTGTGGTACAATGCTTAGCAGGAATTGGCAAGCCCTTCCCTGTTCAAGCTGGAGTCCATCATGGATTGGCTCTGTCATCGTTGCTGTTCATACTATGCATGGACGCAATCAACAGGCATACAGAAACCGCATCCTGGGACACTGCTGTATGCTGACAATGTTATGTTAGCTGCTGAGTTGTGAGCAGAGTTGCAGATCAAGTTCAAGTGTGGAAAAATAATTTGCAACATTTCGGACTACAACTCAACATCTCATAAACAGAGTCCATGGAATATGGACCAACAGTAGAGGATGGCTCCGTCAATATCAACAGCATTGACCTCAACAAAGTGACCGACTTTAAATATCTCAGCACAAAGATCACCTCCACTGGTAACTTATTCTCGGATGCTCACGGGTGTGTAAATGCCGCATGGAAGAAACAGAGAGCAACGACAGACATAAAGTGTGATAAGAAGATCCCAATCCACCTGAAATCGAAAATCTATAGGACGGTGGTGAGACCAGTCGCTCTATATGCCACCAAGTGCTGGTCGACTGCTAAGGCTGTTGAGAAAATTCTGCCCACTATGAAAACTCGGATGCTCAGATGGTCAATGGAAGTTACCCTGAAGGACAGGATCCCAAATGATACAATATGCTCCATCTTTGGATGGAGTTGCTCTGATCGCCAAGAAGATGAAGGATGGTTTGGACATGTGCAACGCAGTGATGAGGACTCTGTGGCAAAACCACTCTGAATATGGAAGTTGCAGGCGCCAGGCCAAGTGGCAGACCCAAATCTCACTGGTGCAAACGTTTGAAACGCAACATGGCTCAAGCAAGACTCACAACAAGAGATGCGACCGATAGGAACAAGTGGAGAACAAGAAGCAAACCAGTCACCAGGCTCCTCAAGCCCCATCACCCTCTCCTCCTCGTGTTGATTCATGTAGGAACAAATGACACTGCTAGGCATACTTTTCAAAAGATCACAAATGATTTTCAAGCTCTCAGAACAAAGCTAAAACAGTATAATGTACAGGTAGTATTTCCATCCCTCCCCCCGCATTGTAAGACAGTGCTACAAGGGCCAGAAAAATAGTACAGGTCAATAACTGGCTCAGAATATGGTGTCAGCAGGAACGCTTTGGCTTCCTCAACCATGGCCTGCTTTTCCAGGAGGATGGCCTACTGGCAAAGGATGAGGTGTATCTCACAAAAGCAGGAAAACGCCTTTTTTTTTGCTCACAGACTCGCAAACCTCATCAAGCACACTTTAAACTAGGTCCATCGGGGGAAGGGGACAACAGCCTTGCAAACAGTACTTTACTCATGACCTCAGGGAACCACCAAAAGGCTGAACAACGAGTTGCACAAACACAACAGTGACACAAAATAACATGGGATAATTCCCCCAAGTTTCAGAAATATTCATACATTCAGAAATATTCATATATTCATACAAAATTCTCTAAAATCAGTAGAATCATAGAGTTGGAAGAGACCTTGTAGGCTATCCAGTCCAACCCCTTGCCAAGAGCAGGAATGCAATTTTCCTGCTCTTGGCAGGGGGTTGGACTGGATGGCCCACGAGGTCTCTTCCAACTCTATGATTCTACTAATTTTAGATATTTTTTTAAAAAAAATTGGGAAAAAAAATATTTTAAAAACTTACAAGAGCCATGCACTACAACTATCAGTCAGTCCTCTTCTTTGCAGATTCAACCATTGATTGGAACTCTGGCTGGCTGCACATGTCAGATATCACGTTGTAAAAATTTGACAAATTTGATAGGACTTACAAGGACTAATGAAAAAATGCACAATCCTAGTAGGTATACAGAGAGAGTGAGTGAGTGAGAGAGACTCATATAAAAGAAGGCTAGACGGGCAAGAAAAAGAGTTGGACAGATCTGGGAAAGATCTTAAAAATGGACCATAAGAATAATATTTTGGTTAAATCAGAAGAGTTTGTGAACCCAAAAGTGATACATGGAAAACATTTTTGACATAAGGAGCATGATCATGGTAATATGATACAATCACTAACCTACCAACAATCTCAATAAAAAAAACTAGAACTTTCTTGGTGGATATGCAAGGTAAATGACATAGGAATTGGAATGACTGGATGATGAGATTGGACAACGTTTTTATTAGGGGACGTAATGTATGTTTTTAATACTATTGTTATGGTTTTAAATTACGTGTTCATGTTTTTAAATGTTTTATGGTGTATTGGGCATCAAATTCTTGCCTCTGTAAACCTCCCCGAGTCGCCTGAGGGCTGAGAAGGGCAGTATACAAATACAGTTAATAAATAAATAAATGAAATTATTATTAATAATAATTGAAGAAAATATTTAATGTAAAATAATCTGTTATAAAAAATCAGTTTAATTTCTATCAAAGAAGAACAGGAAAAGAATACGAAAAAGGACACTCCTGACTCTTTGCTCTGTGTTGTTGTAGGTTTTTTCTTTGCTCTATGCTTCTACCATTGTGCCACAACTTTGTGCTTCTACCATTTTTAAATTGATCGTTCTTTTTATTGTTCCATATGAATGTGCATTTATACATTATCTGTTATTTATAAAGTACATTTTCTTATTTTAAAAGACGTAACAAAAATGGGGTGGGGGATCAAGGGGCTGGAACAGATTAATAGCATTTCAATGCACTTCAATGCAATGTATTGCATCTGTCGCAAGTGCGCGAGGTGGAACTGAGAGCAGGGCCTCCCCAGATGATCTTAATATTCGAGGGTTCATAGAGGGAGATACATTCGGGCAGGTAAGCTGGGTAGGAACTGTTTAGGGCTTTATAGGCTAAAGCCAGCACTTTGAATTGTGTTTGGTAGCTGACTGGCAGCCAGTGGAGTGGCGTAACAGGGGGTTGTATACTTCCTGTACACCGCTCCAGTGAGTAATCTGGCTGTCGCCCGCTGGACCAATTGAAGCTTCTGAAGAGTCTTCACAGGCAACCCCATGTAGAGGGCATTGCAGTAGTCTATACGGGATGTAACCAGAGCGTGGACTACCGTGGCCAAGACTGACTTCCCAAGGTACGGGCACAACTGGCGCACAAGCTTTAGTTGTGCTAAAACTTCCCTCGTCACTACCAAAACCTGGGATTCCAGGCTCAGCAATGAGTCCAGGATCACTCCCAAGCTGCGAACCTGAGTCTTTCAGGGAGTGTAGCCCCATACAACACAGGCTGTAACCCTATACCCTGTTCGGCCTTACAATTGACCAGGTGTGCCTCTGTCTTGTCTGGATTCAATTTCAATTTGTTCGCCTTCATCCAGACCATCACAGCTGCCAAGCACCGGTTCAGGACCA